TGCAGCTGGAGCAGTTCAACATGATCGAGAACGCCATCAGCTCCAACAGCCTCTACAGCCCCTGCTCCACCCTCAACTACTCCCAGGCTGCCATGATGGGACTGACGGGCAGCCACGGCAGCCTCCAGGACTCGCAGCAGCTCAACTACTCCAGCCACGGAAACATCCCCAACATCATCCTGACAGGTACGGCCCCGCTCTGCTCCGGCCTGGAGCAGCCCTGGGGGCGGTGTGGGGGATCCACGAGGAGATGAAGCTGCTGGAGGAGGGATGGGGAGCTGGGGCAGGGCCTGAGGGGCAGCACTTGGCTTGTTGAGCTGGAGCAGAGGCTGAGGGTGAGTCCTCAGGGCCTCCTCCTGAGGGGCAGCTCTGATCTCTGCTCGCTGTGAGCAGGGACAGGACCCCAGGGAAGGGCTGGAGCTGTGCCAGGGGAGGGTTGGGATGGATCTCAGGGAAAGGTTCTTCCCCCAGAGGGTGGTGGGCACTGCCCAGGCTCCCCAGGGCAGTGGGCACGGCCCCAAGGCTGCCAGAGCTCCAGGAGGGTTTGAGTGATCCTCTGTGGGACAGGGGGGGTTGTTGGGGTGTCCGTGCAGGGGCAGGAGTTGGACTGGATGGTCCTTTTGGGTCCCTCCAGGCTCAGGATATTCCATGATCCAGGTTTCCTTCAGCACAGAGATCACCTGTCCCAGGGGCAGAGTGAAGAAGGAACACGGGACAGGCTCAAGTCAGGGTGTCACATATGGTGGCCAATCTGGTCACAGTTGGATTTTGGGAACAATCCCTGCACAGGGATACAGGGAGAACTGTTGGCTCAGTCCACGCTGCAGCCAGGCCCTGCTGTTTGGAATCATGGAAACTGAGGTTGTTCCTCCTAAACCCGAGGGAGAGAAGAGAAAAAGAGACACCAAACATACAGGCAGGAACTTCGCTTTGTGTTTGGTCGTCCTGATGGTTTGAGGGAAGCTGTGGGGAACCTGTAACTCATCCAGTTGGGAAGGAGAGGGGATATCCCTGGTGTGATGAGGGTGTTCTCCACCTGAGCTTCATCCTTAGCTCAGTAAATAATTCCAGGGGTTTTGGAGCTGTTTTGTGGCTGGTGGATGTCTGTTGGTGAAGTCCAGCTGACGCCTCCTCCCCGTTCTCCTTCCCCGCAGTGACAGGAGAGTCTCCCCCCAGCTTATCAAAAGAACTGACCAGCTCTTTGGCGGGCGTGGGCGACGTCAGCTTTGACGCGGATTCCCAGTTCCCCCTGGATGAACTCAAAATCGACCCCCTGACCTTGGATGGACTGCACATGCTCAACGACCCCGACATGGTCCTCACCGACCCCGCCACAGAGGACACGTTCCGGATGGACCGGCTGTGAGGGCCCGGAGCCCCGGCGGGCGCGTGGCGGCGGCCGAGCCGGAGCGGCGGCTGCTCCGCCCGTCCCCGCCCGTCCCATCAGCAGAGCTTGTCGTCCTGAGCTTGCCGCGCTGCAGAACCCCCCGCCCGGCGCCCCCCCCGAGCCGCTCGTTGCCGTTCATCAGTAAGGAGCTCTTTCCATCGGCCTTTCCAACCCTTCTCCCTTCCTCTCTCCCTCCCTCTCTCTCTCTCTCTCCAGGGCTCCCCCCGTTTCCCACCCCCCTCCAGCTCCAGCGTGACGTTGTCGGTGTGTCCTTTGCACTCGGGAAGGGGTTGGGGCAGGTGAGGAAGGTGAAGAGGTTCCCGGTTTTTTTTGGCTGTGGGGTTGGGATGGGGAGCGGGGGAGGCCCCGGCTGTGCCCCCTGCCCTGTCCCCTCCTGCAGGCCCAGCGTAGGGACTCTGCTGTGTCACCTCCCTGGGAGGCTGAAAGGCTCCTCCTTTCTGTGTGTGTCCCCAGGAATTATCGTTATTTTTGAGTCTTATCAACCAGTTAAACCAGTGACACCCCCCAGGGTGAGCTGAGCCTGGAGAGGGAGGCACTTCCAGGCGGGAGGGGCTGAGCAGCCACGGGGATTTTGTTACCTGTACCCACCCTGTGGGGTGTCCCCTTCCCCTCAGCGAAGCAGAGCAGCAGCCCCCCTAAAAAATCCCACCACAAACACTATTTTCCCAGCTTTTGTTTTGTTTGTTGCTTTTTTTTTTTAAATTTTTTTTTAAATATATATGTAATATATATATATTTCTATATATGTCTACATATATAGAGAGCATTTCTGAGCACACAAAAAAGTACTATAATTCATTACTTGATTAGCACAGGGGAAGGATCAGAGCATTTTAAAGCAGCTAAAAAAAAAATAAAATAGAGGAGACTAACCTGCATAATTCTAATTTTACTCTGTGAGGGAGATTCCTGGGCAACAGGAAGGGCATTTCCATAGCAATGCCAGGCTTGTTAGAATTGTGATGACTTATTTTTTATTTTTTATTCATTACTTATTCTGTTACTTATTTATGATTTTTTTGTTGTTGTTTTTCTTTTTTTTTTTTTTTATTTAAATACTTGGATATTAGGAAAGTAGCTAAACTACATACAGCCAATTGAAGCACTCTACATTACTACTTGTACAGTACATCTTTTTGTGGTTTTATTCCAGAAATATATTATATATTATATATATATAGGTATTTTTAAACTAACTGGAATTTTGAACAGGTGTTGAGCGGAAATAAGGAAGCTTATAAGGCAAGTTCAGATGTTTTCCTTTGAAAAACAGGCGAAGTAGGGTGGCAGGAACTTAGATATTCCTTCTTTCACCCAGGGGAAAAAAATCTCTTGCTCCACAGTGACCAGGATTGAATCCTCCAGAAGGCTGAGATTCCGTTAAATTCAGTGGATAATGGACTATTTCTGGTAGTCCCTGTGAATATTCTGTGCTGCAGCATTAAAAAAAATCCCACCCAAACTCCCCCCAGTGACTGGGAATTGGTGGATTCACTCCAGCATCGTGGCTGGGTCGATGGGGATTCCCAGATTTCTGCTCTTGGGTCTCTTAGAAAGTGAACTGAAGGATCTCCCAGGGGACCTGCCAGCACAGGGCCCTCCTCTTCAGGGCTCAGGAATCCACGGGGAATTCCCATTGTTTTGGAGATTAAACCCGCAGCACCCCCGAGGGTGAGCTGAGGGTGGAGAGGGAAGCGCTTCCAGGCGGGAGGGGTTGAGCAGCCGCCTGGATTTTGTTCCCTGTCCCCTCAGCCAAGACCCCTTTCCCTTCCCAGCTGGGGTTTGTTGATCCCCAACTGCTCCTCCCGCTCCTTCTGCATCCCCTGGATTTGTTTCTTGCCTAAAAACCCATCCCTTTCTCAGCTCTTTGAGGCAAAACCCAACCCCTCCAGCCAAAAAAAAATTAACACCAACCCCTCCAACACAAAACCCCTCAGCCTTTCCCCCATCCCAGAACGGTTTTCCACCTTTCCAGCGAGCGTTAGCGGAGGGAGGAGGAGCCGAGTCACCCCTCAATTAACGAGTTCCCCTGCAATTAAGGAGCTCTCCAGGAGTGGCTCTGCTCCTAATGAGTTATACTAGGTTTCTGTGTGCTTCCAGAAATCCGTGGGCCGCCATCCCGAGGTTCCCGCCGGCCCTGCTGAGCGGGATCGCCGTGGGGATCTCTCTAATCCCGCCGTGTTCCCTCACGTTTTGTGCCATTTGTTGACCATTTGCACTAAAAATGTGGTTTGTTTTTTTTTTGTTTTGTTTCCTTTGATCTCTTGGCTTTCCTGTGTCTTTTTGTGTTTTTTTGTTTTTTTGTTTTTTTTGGTCCCTTCCCCACTCACTCCAGAGGTTTTTCCCTCAAATCTCCTGAGAATGCTTTGGGTTCTTTTTTGGGGCAGGATTTAGGCCCGGTGAGTCCGTGGTGACTCTTGGTGGCTGCTTGTTTCAGATGGTTAACGCTTTTCCAGTTTAAGGAGGAGACAAAAGGCAGCTCATCCCAAAAAAAAAAAACCAACCAACCGGGAGGGGTTTGGGCACAGGTTTGGGAAGGTGCAGCCTGAGCTGGAAACGCTTCCTGCCGCTCCTGTGGCTCCGTGGGGGGATTCCTGTGTGGCTCTCCCGCTGGAATGGCTCTTGTGCATGTGGAAATCCTTGCCTGTGATCCGTGTTTTTCCAAACCATAGCAGAGCATCCAAGAGGGAGCTGAGATTCTTCCCGGGAGGCTCGGACAGGGAGCCCCGGATCCCACGCTCCTTCCCGGTTTTTTAACTCCCGGTGTACATAAGAGCTCTTTTGTTTCTTAGACTTGTAAGTAGACCTTGAAAATGGCCTTAAATTCAAACTAACCCGTCTTTGGATGCAGCTGTGGGAATTTGGGACCATCCAGCTGAGGGAAATCCAGGTTTTTGCTCCCTTTGTGTGGGCCTGTGGGAGAGGGAAGGAGCAGGTGAGGTGGCTGTGGGAATGCTGAGGGTGACAGGATGTGTGGGATCCCCTGTGGCCCAGGTTTGGGCAGGTAAAAGCTGCTTTTCATCCCAACTCTTTGAGGCCTGGGGAAGGAATTCCGGCAGCTCTTGCCCTTCCCTTCCCCGAGGGGGACGTTCCCCCTGAAGGTTTCCTGGCACATCCCCCCTCTTCTTTCCTTAAAATTCTCTTTTCTGTGGCATCAGCTGATCTGGAGCAACTCCAGATCTGGTGGGATTGTCGGATGGAAACACGGAGTGCATCCCAAGTGTTTCCAGAACAAATAATGGGATTTTTATTTCCAGTTTCGCAGTCCTGTTCTCATTTCCAGCGGGTGAGGGTCCCTTCCCACCAGGCACTGCTGAGAGCAGGAGGAGGAGCAGAAAGGGAGGAAAACCATCACTTAGCAAAAAAAAACCCCCACCCCAATCTCCAGAAGAAAATAGTGTTATTGATATTATTGATAAGTTTGAGTTCAATGCTGTTGAAACTGTCTGGTGTCTCAAAGGGTGACTGTCCAAACATACCTGCTGAGTGAACCCCACCCTCCCTACATGTGTTTTTATATCTCTCTCTCTATATATATATATATAAATTAATTAAAAAATTCCCAAGCTAGACTGTTGCATTTGCCAATACAATGGGGAATAACAGGAATAAACCTTGGGCTTATCGAAAACTGTGATTTTTTTTTTATTATTGTTATTATTATTATTATTTTTAAAAATTTTTTTCTTGTTTTTTTTTGGTTGTTGTTGTTGTTGCTGTTTTTGTTATTTTTGCAGAAGCAAACCCAGCCCTGGTGCTGGTGGGTGGGGTTATGGGGTGGGGGGGAGGTTCTTTTCCCTGTACATAGATATTTTTTTTTTTCCCCCCTCCCCTTCCCGCCGGCTCCGCGCCGGCCGCATGTGTGATCCGGGCCCGGCTCCCACGGCTTCTGCATGGCAGGGAGCTCTTGCCAGCCCTTCCTCCCCCCCTGCCACCCCTGCCCTGCACACACAGCCTCGGGCTGCCCTTTGCCCCCTGCTTTTTGTTTGGGGTCGAAGAGTTCTGGGTTTCCAGAAAGAGGCTCCTCCTTTGTGTGGTTTTGACTGAAATTTAACGCCTTCGATCCGGGGGATTTTTAAGGAGCCCCAGAACGCTCATGGAATGAACCTTGAGCTCAGAGGAGGTTGGATTTGATGGTCCTGCAGGGCTTTTCCCAATCTGGATTTGGTGATTCTTTCCCAACCTTGATTTGGTGATTCTTTCCCAACCTGGACTCAGCACCTTTTTTTTTTCCCAACCCTGATCCGGTGACTCCAAGACCCAAGAGCTGCCCCCAACAGCATCCAGAATCACTGAGCTTTCCCTCCAAAAACAAAGCGGCTTGGCCGCCAAAACTCGGCTTTCTGTAGAAACAACAACTCAGGCTCGAGCTCTGCCCCTTGAGGGAAGACCCCGGGAACCCCCTCTGGACCCGAAGGAAGCAGAAAGGCCCCTCCTCACCCCGTAGGTCCCCACCTGTGCTTTTTTTTGGGGGGGGACAAACCCCCCCTCCCCTTCAAACCAGCGCGTTTATTCCTCGGAGCAGCGGCCCCCCCCGTCACTGTGATGGCAACGTGAGAGCGCAGGTAGCGTTTGTTAACGTGTGTCTGTCCTTTTTACAAAAACAAACAGAAAAAATAACCCTAAAAAAAAAAAAAGAAAAAAACAAAAAACAAGCCCTTGCCTTCCCCTTTAGAATGAACTTTGTAGTGTTCCTGTCTCCTTTGTAAATTTTTTTTTTTTGGTTTTGTTTTTGTTTTTTCTGAGTTGCATCTTAATTTATATCCGGCGCAGTGTAGGCATGGGATTGCATGTCGGTTTTTTCTACGCGGGCACCACGACGTTCTGACTGTGTATTATAAAATCATTTTTACCTTTTTAAACAGGAGAAAAACGAAACAAAAAAAAAAACAAAACAAAACAAAAAA